GCTTCCCCCCAAACCTGGATGAGGTCCACGATCTCCACACTAGACCACGCGGGCGCCCTCCTCTTGTGGCCCTGGGCAGGCTCCTGGGAGCCGCCAGGCTGGTCCCGGGAAGAGAGGGAGGGGTGGGGGGCATCGGGTGGCTGGTTCATGGAGTGTCAGGTGCAGGGTGTGCTGGCACGGGTGCTGGCAGCCTTGCAACTGGCACAAACAGTGTAGCCAGCCCGTGGTCCTTTAAGGGCTCCGGGGTCGGGAGGGGGGCAGTAGAGTTTGCCTGGTGTTGGCCAGAGTGGCCAGCAGGGCAAGCTGGGAAGGGCTAGCCTCCCACTAGTTCGAACTAAAGGGCTACACAGCCCTTAGTTCGAACTAGTAAGTTCGAACTAGGCATTAGTCCTTGTGAAATGAGGTTACCTAGTTCAAACTGAGCGCTCCGCTAGTTCGAATTAAGTTCGAACTAGTGGAGCGCTAGTGTAGCACCTATCAAAGTTAATTCGAACTAACGTCCATTAGTTTGAATTAACTTTGTAGTGTAGACATACCCTGAGAGATTAAATGTCTTCTCCGTAGTCACATGGAGCATGTATTTGGGACAGGAATTCATCCCAGCTCTCCTGCCTCTATATCCCAAACCCACTTGCTGGAGCATGCTGCCTTACATACTCTGCCTTACAGGACTTGAGAAAATAAAACCTAATGTAATGTAGTTCTGCAGTCTGTCTCCTTTTCAAAGTGGAGGCTTTTGGAGACCACAAGTTAGAGAATATCCTTTCCTTCTAGCTATCTAATATCTCTCTGTGGCCCTCATCACTGTAGCAACTTTCAAGTATTTAAAAATAGCAAACAATTACAACCTCCTTCTTTCTTCTTTCAGAATAGCTTGATTAGTTTGGGTGCATGTAAAAAAGAAAGAGGAGACTTCTGTCTTGCTCCATCTACTCAGAAAATTCTGTTTCTTTTGACCATGAGTGTCTTCCTGTCCGTCACTAGTTCCTTGGTACTGCAGGATGAAGCTCTTTAATCCAGCACTCTGATTCAGCAACATCCATGGTCTGGAATGATTTTAGTTTGCCAGATGTCCACTTATCATGGGTGTGGTCAAGTTTCCTGCAGTCCCATAAAGTTTGTTTCCAGCCATCAGTCTTGGCTCTCAGTGTTCTGTGCTGTAGTTTAGCTTTAATTTACCCCCTACATGTCTGCTAAGAGCCTAGTAAGCAGTGGAAGTGTTGGTAATTCTTCTAGAAAATATTGACTTCCCATGGTTTGGCATCAGTCAGGTCCCAAGGGTGCCTATAGTGTAATTGTAGTTGTCATATATGGTTATTATCACAGAGGGAGCTGTAATCTGTGTGAAAACTAGGACAATACTCATTGAGAGCTTTTGAATGCCAGGCCTCAGTATTATCTTAACTTGAGAAAGATGTCATTGCTATAGAGTTGAAATCACTTTCCAAACTAGAATAGTTCTGGCAGGTTTTTTTCATTATTTAAATACTAATCAGGAAAAAAACAATTAAGAATGGAAAATGTTTAAAAT